TTTTTTCCTTCTGCAACCTCACTCAAGTGTCACAACTGAATTGGTTCAATGTAAAATTTAGCCCCCAGAAACTAGCAGACATCTGGGTCCCATGGATAAAAGAAAAAATTAAATAATTTTATTGGTCTTCTATGTAATTGGATTTTTAACACCTCAATGCAAAGAGTTCTTAAACATTTATTTAGACCATATGTTGTGCTATACATAGATTTGTTATTCTTAACCGTACTAGTTAGGGTAACTGTACACTAATTTTGACCTGATTTAACGCGTACCTCATAAGTAGAGAAAGGTAAACAGAAAAAGAAGGAAATAGGAAAAAGAGTCACAGTTCCAGAACATCTCAAAACCAGATTATAAGATGAAGATATTTTTTCTTATTAATCCAGAGTTCATGTGGGAGTGCATTCTGTCCGTGAGATCAGACTCTCTGTTGAGGCTGTTGGCAAACAAGGGGACTTTACCCAGCAGGAAAGGGCAGGATGCTGTTTGGGGACAACGTGCTGGGAGGTTTGTAGCTTAGAGTGCAGGACATGTCTGTTCTCAGAACCCAGATCCCAGCACCAGTCCCCACACACTGGGAATTGACTGAAATGACCACTCTACCCTAATGTTAGCGTGTATGTGTGCATGATGTATAGACAAAACCTAAATGAAAACAATTTTGTTGACCAAACTTATCTCTGAGTGTGCAATTAAATAGACACTTCCTATCAAAAGACTCACTCTCTCTAAATGTTTCCAATGAAGAACAACAGTACTAGGGGAGCACCGAGGCCTTTTCCAGGGGTAGCAGCTTGTTAGCCTCTGGGGCTGCTGGCTGGGGATGTCCCCAGTGCTGACTGCAGGCTCCAGGGAGATGGCCAAGGGGAGGACTAGGAAAACCAATGGCAATGGAAGAAGGAGAAAGTGGAGAGACAGGATAGGTGAATGCCTCAGTTTTTCTTTCTAGTTCATACCAGGACTTTCTTATCATGGTATATCACAGAAAATGTATGCCATGAAAAAAACTATGTATAGATTTTTTAAAAATATGTGCTGCTAAAATTGTTTTTTATTCCATTTTGCACGAAACTTCTAAAGTACTCTCTCACATAGGTTACAATACTTAAATGATCATTTATATATATGCACACACATATATGCAAATATATACATAATCATTTGTACAAATATAAATATATATGAACTGTTATTTATGTGCATATAGACATACATAAACTTTTGAGATTTAAATACTTTTAACTTTTATTACTTTCATTTTTATTTTTTTTATTTGAAAGGCAAAAAGGGAGAAACAGAGGCCTTTCATCTGCTGTTTCACTCCCCAAATGCCTGCAAGAGCCAGAACTGGGCCAGGCCAAAGCCAGGAACCTGGAACTCAGTGTAGCTCTTACATATTTGTAGGTGATACAGGCCCAAGTCCCTGAGTCCTCATTTGCTGCCTCCCATGAGTGCATGCTAGCAGGAAGCCAGGTCTGGGGTCAAGAAGCCCACATTTGAGCCAGGCATTCCAATGGGGAAAGTGCATATCCGGGTAGCCCCCTAACCACTGCACCAAGTATCTCTCCCTATGTGATCTGATAAACTCAGAGTTTATTTTGAAAGCAATGGCATCAAATTGTCCCCTTGTCTGTGTCTACCAACAGCAAAGATCATCTGACCCCATTTTTTTTTTTAATTAGAAGAGCTCTAAAAAAGTGTAAGGTATTTTAACTGCCAGAGCCCATAGTTTTGTATGAGAGCAAATCTTATTTTCTGTTGGAACATCATAAACTTACCTAGTAAAGTGCATGTGATTTTGCCTAATTTAGTTAGAGTACTCAAGTGGATCAAAATGTGATTTTTCTTTTATAGGAGCGGCTGAGGGTTTAGAATAGCATCGGGTGTTTCATAAACCACATGAATTCTATGTGACACAGCAGGTGTTTGTGGAATGTGTGTGCAATCCAGGTCCCAAGGCAGGGAGGTGGAGAAAGGGGTCATGGGTGGGCCTGGATCTCTCAGCTCTCAGAGAGCACATATTCCCTGGGCAAGCCAGAGCAAGGCAAAGCTGAGAGCTTGGAGATTGGGGGCAGAGGGAAGAGGTGAAGCAGTGTGTGTGGTGAGGGCACACTTTCTGGCTCCTGGTCCACATCTTCTTGTGGCATCCTCCCAAAGCAGAAAGGGAGAGGGAGCTCTCCAGGACTCCTTTCATGTCAGCCGTAATGCCATTCCTGAGGGCCCTGAGCTCCTATGGATACCATCTCCGGAGGGGCTGAGTGGCTCAACAAAGGCACTGAGGGGACACAGACATTTAGTACCAGACAAGTGGGGAATTTTGGGTGGCATCCTGACCTTGACAAAAGGGAAAGGGAAGGGCATCTTGGGCAAGAGAATCAGTGTTGAGTGACACAATACGGAGGCTGAACTGGTGGGACAGGGGTGCGAGGGAGCCTGGAGGCTCTAGGCGAACATGTAGAAACTTGTATGCTTGCTTCCTCTCTTATCATATCCTGGGTGTGAGTGTCAAAGTCCTACACATTTTACAGATCAAATGAGATTTAACGTTGGCACAAGTACACAACACATGTATTTCTTTTCATTTCAAAATACCACTGTCCTGGGTTTACACATTACTGGCTTGTCAACTTTCATATCATTTTCCTTGTAGATGATTGATTTAGGAACTATAGTGAAGAATAGATTTAAAATGTTTGCAAATATCAAGTCGTTATAGGGAGAAGAAAGCCAGGATTCAAGGGTAGACCTGAACATATAGACACATAACCTAGATGTTAGAGAAGGTGCTTGCCAGGAAGGAACTTGGGAATGTCAAAGATTAATCTGATCACCCTTAAAAGCATGTTAAAGAATATGTGCACAGATGCATGTATGTATTTGTGTATACTACACGTGCACACATACACACACACACACACACACTCCCAGCCATCATCATACGGAATGTAGACTCGCTATTTAGAGTAGCGTGTTGAGGATACCACATAGGGTAAGTTATATAGTCCACACTTGTGCTTGGGGAGAACTTTTGCTTCCCTCTTTGTGGACTTGCTACCTCGACAATGGAACCTTCCCATGTTGCTGCAAGTGCTCAGGACCGCAGCTTTCTCTTCATGTGGAGGCAAATGAACACATAATGGGACAGAATCAGAATGAGTTTTGCCCCTTATGGTCTCCCTCTCAGTAATGTCTGAAGACATTTCCCTGAGTACCCAGTACTGATCCAGCCTTATGCAGGCACTAGTCATGCAGAAAAGACTTGCCTCCCAGTAGCACAATGCCCAGCGGACCAGGAAGGGCAGCATGTGAGCATCTTTCCAGAATCCTGTGCAAGGTGTGCTGGGGACTCAAAGGAGGGAGCAAGCCTTTATGGAACCTGACGCCTTCTCTGCATCTCCACATTTTTCTTCTTTCTTTAAAAGGAAGAGTTGGTGACTCTTTCACCAATTTAGCTTTTGTTGTTGTTGTTGGAGATTTATTTATTTTTATTGGAAAGACAGTTTCAGTTTAAGGGGAGGAGAGACAGAGAAAGATTAATCACTCCGATTAATCACTCCCCAAATGGCTGCAACAGCCAGAGCTGAGCCTATCTGAAGCCAGGAGCCGGAAGCTTCTTCTGGGTTTCCCACATGGGTACAGGGTCCCAAGGCTTTGAGCCATTCTGAGCTGCTTTCTCAGGATATAAGTAGGGAGCTGGATGAGAAGTGGAGCAGTCAGGAATTGAACTGGTACCCATATGGGATCCTGGTATATGTAAGGCGAGGATTTAGCCATTGAGTCATTGCATTGGGTCCACCTTCACATTTCTTTAGGCAATAATGGAAAGTTAAAGTAGATTGTGCGAATAGTCTAGGAAACTTTCAAAATATGCACCCAAAATATCTGGCTAGCTGAATGATTGTATTTCCTTGATCTGTTTGTTTATTGATTATTGTGGGCTCAATCTGTGACTGTAGATCAATACATTTCTGCAACTTGCCAGCACTCCAGTTAGCTCTAACCATTATCCACAGGGTAATTTTTCTGGGTTAAAGACAGGAAATTAACAGAGTCCTATCAAGCAAACAAAAATGTATAAATTAACATGGGAAAACTTGTTTCATAGTTCTGAGGTTGAGCTTCTGATTCAATGAAACAACGGTTCTTAGGCACCTCGTCTATTCTTATTAATGCTCTCTGCAGGCTCTTGCCAAGCCTCCTCACTTTCTTTACCCCAAATTCTTGAGGGTAAGAAGTGTAGGAGGCCCATGTTTCCACAGTCTTGAGGGGCTCTCAGTTGAAACTGTTCTTCCTTATGTCAAGGAGCAGAACTCTGATGAGATCTATATAAAACTGTCCAGCCTCCTTGCTTTGGCCCATTCCAGCAGTTTCCTTCATTGTCAAGGTTGTGCAGTGGTGGAGAGCCTGATGGAATGGAGATTCTGGAACATGCTTTTCTAGAGTTACCATCCATAGGTCAGACTCTGCCCTCATTGTGCATTACCCCTCTGCCTGGGTCAGAGGACTCACACAGGAGCAAGAGATTCTAATGTTTGTTTGGACTCAGCAAGCTCGACATGAGGGATAGCGTTGGCTCAGTCATAACGTTGTGGCTAAGGATGCCACATCCTGTACCACAGTGCAGGTTCCAGTTCCAGCTCCATTTGTGATCCAGCTGCCTACTAATGAGCCTTGAAAAGCAGCTGATGATTGCTCAAGTACCTGGATCTCTGCCACCCACGTAGGAGACCCAGGTGGAGTCTGGGATCCTGGTTTCTACCTGATTCAGCCCTGGCAGTTGCAGGTATTTGGGGCATGAACCAACAAATGGAAAGTCAGTCTCTCTCTCTTTCTCTCTTTCTCTCTCTCTCTCTCCTTCCCTCCCTTTCCCCCTCACTCCTCTGTGTGTGTGTGTGTTCTTTTCCTTTCAAGTAAAATGAAAATTACAGATTGGAAAAAAAAATTCCAGAAGATGGCCTGAATGAAGCTAATAATTATCTTTCTTCTTTTTTTTAAAGGTGAACACACACAAGAAGCCAGCTCACCCCATCCTCTCAAGAAGGATGTGGAAAATATGGGGAAAGGTATAGCAAATCCTCAATTCTGTAAAACTTCTCTTTGCTTTAAAAGACCGGAGATAATAGGAGGATATTTTTGTTCTCTGCTATATTTTAAGCCTGACAAGGAATGTATGAATAATATATGGACCATTGGGTGGATATAATTGAGATTAATGCATACATATCAATCAATACATGACACTGTAATATAATACTTTAAAAATAATATATTACATTGATTTATATTCATGGATTTCTGCACAAAATCTATCCTAGGTCTATGCAACACTTTTTAAACTGGTAAAATATTTTGTCTTAAAATAATAAATTGCTGTATATAACAGCTCTCTGGAGAGTTATTTGTAAAGATTAGTAAAATGACTTCTTTTTTTCTTTATTAGAAGAACTTCAGAAGGTTTTATTTGAACAAATAGATTTACGGAGACGACTAGAACAAGAATTCCAAGTGTTAAAAGGAAACACATCTTTCCCAGTATTCAGTAAGAAATCACTTTTATTTCATTGAATGAGTAATATTTGTAACATTTCCAGCTATTGAGCTTAAGAACGTGATTTTAAGTGTTAGTTAATTCTGTAAGCCCACAGCACCTTCCCACGACCTGTCTAGATTCATAAATTGTAGTCTCTCTTATTTTTACTTTGAATTTGCTCACAGATAAAATGCCTGCTAACATTTGTTTGATAAAAATTTATATCTGTGTGTCCATAGATGTGCACATATTTAAAAAATAATAGATATAGGGACAGGCATTACTATAGCAGATGGGATATATAGCAGCCCACAACTCATATCAAAGTGCCTGGGTTCAAGTCGTACCTCTGCTTCCAGCTTCGGCCTCGTGCAGGTACGTATCCAGTGAGGCAGTTGCTGATGACTTAAGCAACCAGTTGGATCCCTAACACTACTGTGCGTGACCTAGCTTGAGTTCCTGGCTCCCAGTCTCTGCCTGGCTCCCCGCCTCTGCTGTTGGGGACATTTGGGGAGTAAACTAGCAGATGAGAACTTTCTCTCTTTTGTCTGTCTGTTTCTGTCTCTCTGCTTTTGAAAGAAAGAAGTGAATAAGAAAGCCAAACTGTGTAGGTGAATATGTAATCATAATTTAAGATGAATTTACATAATGAGATATTTTTCAGTATATTTTCAATGAAATAATTACTTAGGTATTCATATTCTGTAAGGTGGAAAAATAAAACAACAATTAACTTTTATTCTCAGCTCTCTGCATAGCTGATTGACAAATATGAAGATGTAAACTTTTAACAACTCATGGTGCAATATATATTGGTTGAAATTAATATCATCTTAGTAGTGTGGGATTAGGCACCCATGTTTAACCTTAACTGTTCATCCTAAATTTAGGGTCAGGAGATATTGTTACCTAAAAACTGTTGGTTCTGCTTCTGGTGTCTTAGAATTTCAGAAGGACTTTGTGGCCACACGTCTTCCTTGCACCTGCCCCACACTGGGCTACGTTTGGATGAACACATCGTGGTAGTGTTTTTCAAGGTTTTCAGTCTCATTTAGTCACAATTCCTTCTCCAGAGGAGATAAAGTGGGGGAAAAAAGTAATATGCAGGGCACTTTAAAGTATGTGACTTTTTAACTGTTTTGTTTTTCTGCGACATTTTTGGAGAATGTCAGCAGTGCCCTTTGTTATTCACCTGGATGTCCCAAAACTAAAGTGGTAGCCCCTGTCCCTGAGTCACAGACCAACATCTGGGAGAGGATGTTTTTGTTTGTTTTGTTTTGTTTTTCCCAGTAGCTGTCACCGTTTCAGCAGTGTGGGCCTGAAGGTCGGCTGGCTCCAGAGCTGCCTCAGTGGAATCATTAACACACATGAACCTGCTCACGCAGTGGGTCTGTACAGGGCTGCATTTCTGGTGACACGTCCACCTGAGTTTTGGTAACTGCAGGACAAAAGAGAGCTCTGCCCACAAGCCACAGGGGGCTGCCTAGTTTCTGATGGAAGTTGGGATCCAGCGTTTTGAATTCAAATATGTCTGCTGGGCCACAGGGCAAGGTCTAAAAGGGACTGACTGAGAGAGGCTGACAGTGTTCTTAGGGGCATCTGAGCATTCTCGGGTTCCAGGAAATAGAAGTGTATTGAAAGACATCTTTGATGCCTTGAGAAACAGCTGTTCCCAAAGGATCCAGGATTCTCCAACTTCTGGAATCCTCTCTTTTAAGAAAAGCTGCACTATTATTTTTGTGCCAGCGAGCCTCCACTAAATGATTTATCTCTCATAAACTAATGTTTTTAGGATTGTTGGATTTACAAATCTTGCTTTTCGACCCAGCAGAGTTAGTCCAAGTCCCACTACATCCTTGGTAGGGCCTCCTAATACCTGGAAAGTTAATGCAGCCGTCATTCAGTCTGTTAATACAAGCTGATTAGTACTAATTATAAGGAATTATGTACCTGAGTAATTTACACACTTACTTTATTATCTGCTCTGTTGTACAACATGTACAACACCATTCTGTTTTGTAAAAAGAAAAAAAAAAGTGGGAATACTGTGACACAACTAGCCAGTCTCAGTTCAGATCTGTCATTTATCATTTTGGATTGGATTGCTGTGAATTCTCTGTGATGTCACATATGTGAAACGTTTCAAGTAAACAAACAGCAACCAAATTTCCTCTGTGTTATCTGCAATTACTCCATTGACCAAGGAAGTGGCCTGTGTGTGCCCAGGTTTGAATAATGCGTGGTTTAGATGCACCACAAAGAAGCAGTCAATTTCACACGGATGAAAATAGAAAATGTGTGTGACAAGCTCGTTAATTAAGTGCATGCACCAGGCAAGTGAGTAGATTTAGATTCATTCAGGCAAAAGGGGGAAACCCAAACTTTGTGATGCTGCAAGAGAGGGAGATGTAGAGAAACCCTCCTGAGAGTTTTGCAAAGCTTTTCCCTAGGAGATGCACAGCTACAGTCACATCCGTTAGAATCTCATTCTGTTAGAACCCGGGAACCAAGGCTAGGAGCTTGGTAATCCCAGCTCAGAAATCTACCAGAGCTGAGTTCACTTTGAGCTCTAGGTACTTACTGGTGATATGAACTTGACACTCCTGTTTCATAGGCTTAGAACGACCAGGTCAGACTAATCTAATTCAAGTGCAGCTCACACATTCATCCTAGCACAAAATCAGAGGAAAATCCAGGGAGAGAGAGGAGCAGAACTGGTGAGAAAGCCTTGCACAGGGCAAGGACTCCAAATTATAACGCTGACTCCCCACCTACAGTGAAATAACCCTAGGTCTTGAACTTCTTTCTCAACAGTGCTGGCTCCCTCCTGCTGCTGCCAGGAGCAAGTGAGCTAATGACACGAGGTCTTCAGCAGAGTGAGGAATGCGTGGCAGTTAGGAGGAAGGGTGAGCTGTAGTGACTACCTGCCTTTTTGGAGTTTGGTGCTCATGTGCCTGCAGGGACTTTATCAGAATCAGCCAACAGTAGAAACCGGACCTTCTGTAGATCCATTGTGCTGCAGTTACAGGGAGTAGGTTAGGCAGTGAAGCTTTGTTTTAAAATTTTTAATCTGTTTATTTTCATTTTATTTGAAAGTCAGAAGGAGAACCTGGCAGAGAGATCTTCAGTCCCCAATTGCCTGCAGCAGCCAGGCTGGCAGCCTTAAACTCCAGCAGGCTCTCCCAAGTGTGTAGTGGTGACATAACTACTGGAGCCATCTCCTAGGTCACAAGCAGGGAACTGGATGGGAAGTGGGACCATGAACAGGTGCCCATAGGGTTCCTGGTGCTTTCAAGGGGAGGAGTTAGCCACTGAGCCATCACACCGGGCCCAGTCCTACCGTGGTTACTTCTAATTCCACAGGTATTTGTGTTGATTCCACTTGCATCCCTGTCCTCTACCCTGCTGCATGGTCAATGGGTTCAAGAAAGGGCTGTACCTGCTCTGCCTGCATTGCCACCTACAGCCCCTGGCCTGGGAGGGCACAGAAAATCCTCAGTGAGGAATGAGGTTAACTCATTGTTGTGTAAAAGAGGCTAGCCAGCGTTTATGAGTTAGGTATTTGGATTTGCAGTGATGCCAGTGCATTCGTGGCACTGGAGGGAAGGGAGCAGAAAGGTGGCTTGGCAAGCACAAGGAAAGGAGTATAATGAAGGAGGCTTTATGAACAACTTCTGTTAATTTCATCCCAAGTTTCATCATTTTACTAAGAATTTCAAGTTGCTGCCAAATTACTTCTTGTGAAAAACAGACATCTCATCTCCTTGTATCTGCTTGTTCACATATTTCATCCATAATGGTCACTGGATTCATTCCATGTAAAAGATATCCAATCCTCCTGCCTTCTTTCTTTTCTTCCTTCCTCTCTCTCTTTGTAGCATCCTCTGGAGGGAGGAGAGTATTCTAAAATACTGCACAAAGCAGAAGTCAGCCTCAGTGTTTGAGAGTAATGGTACCCAAGTGAAGTGGACACCATTAAAGAATTCCCCAAGTCCAGTGAATAGGAGCCCCTAGGTGAACCACGCATACCGTGTGGATTCCCTTCTTATTTGTGCTCTCAGCAATGTCACCTGGACATTCCTTATTGCTGTCTACAAAATGCTCTGGCTTTTCATGCTGTCTTATACTGCAGGGCACAGCCCCTTCCACCATGTGGGCCAGTGTGTTCCAGTTCAGCACTGTTCTCTGCTGCCTCTCTGTGTAGTGTTGTCTTCTAAAAATAGTTGGATTCCAAGTAATTCTCATGACAGGAATTGGCCTAGTGATTTTTTTTTTCAGTATGCAATTAAATTGTGTCTTCCTCAACCTTGAAAGATTTTTCATCTTTTTCTTGGCTTGCCAATTAATAATCTTTGTATCTCAAAAGCTATGTACCTGCTTGTTACAGAACATTTTAAGTAAATAGAAATAGAAAAGAAAAAAAGTAAACATCACAGTGTTGCTACCTAAAGATAATCAATTAATATTTGGGGATTTTAGTTTTTATCACATAATAAATTCATTAAAATAAATATATCCATTATTTAACCCTCCATTTTCACTTACAATGTACTTTTACTGATTAACAATGATCTGTGAATAGAATATTAAGTTAAACTCTAAGGTTTATCCAAGTTTTAGTGGATGGACACCTTATAATTAAACCTTTGTCCATATCTATTTATAATGCTTATAATGCTTTATATTTCTATCTGGTCAAATCTATCAATATTGATACTTTAATGGTTTATGATTTCATTTTGTTTTAAGAATTGTGTTCATTCTAGAGCAATGAGTATGAAGACAGTAAGGGCCAGCTTACGTCATTCCACTCTGAATCACCCATAGCTGTTTCCTTCTCCAGAATTAGAATCTGGGCCAAATATTTGGCACAGGGATGAAGAGGTTGCTTAGGATGCTGGCTGGATTTGAGGCTCAGCTCTGTTCCTTGCTCCAGCTTCCTGCTAATATGTACCCTAGAGAGCAGCAGGTGATAGCTCAAGAATCTGAGTCCTGTAACCCACATAGGAGACCTGGCCCACATATGGATTCCCTGGCTCCTGACATTGGCCTGGCTCGGTTTTATCTGTTCAGTATATGTGCTGCCAAAGTGAGCACAGCTCTGTCTGTTCAGGGCATTTTATTGAGTGAACCTGCAGATAAATACAAACCAAAGCAAAAGGAAGCGGATCTTGGGATCCCAGGGCCATGCTGCAGGCAGATTAGCTTCAGACACTACCCCCTCCTTCCCTGTGCAGCTCAGTTACAGCACTGTTCACAAGCACCTTGGCCAGGGCGCCACAGAAGCCACACGGACTCAGGGCAAAGTTATCTACAGCACAGAGGGAGACCTGCTAGGACCATGCCCGGGTGTCTGGAAGCATTGATCTTTTACAGGCAATTTGATCAGACACCAAAGTCACCAGTGTTGAAACTGGGACACTTTGTGGAGGGCTGGCTCCCCTATCTGGCTGTGCCCAGTCACACCAGAGCATCTTGGGGTGGAGGTAGAGGACGGGTGCCAGCTCCTCCCTCAGTACCTCCTCCCTGATTGCTCTCTTTTAAGTTGAATCACTTACCTGTTTGGAGACAACAAAATCCATTTTCCTTGTCATCAAGTTTTTAAATGCTTTGGCAGCCCAGGATTGTAACAAACATGTCCTCCCAGCCCCCAGTGTCTTCCAGCAAAGGTCTGAGGCTCCAGAGCATGGTCCTTATGGTTACTGGCAGAGTGGAGACCTTCTGCTGGCTTTCTGTCCTTCCTCCTTCCTTGCTCAGCCCCTTCTGTGTGCCAGCCACTGTGGGCAGGGCCCTTGGAAGTTTAGCAAGTGTCTCCAATGAAGCTTCCTCACTTTTTGGGAACTCACTGTTTAGCTGGGAGATGAAGAGCCTAAGAACTAATCATGGTATGCATCGTGGGTGCATTGATAGAGGTAGGGACTGCATGGAAAGAAGACAAAGAATGGCGATTCACTGGCATTCTCTTTGTGAGAGAGACAACGTTTGGACTTTAAAGAAAAGGAAGTTTGCTGTAAGGACAGACCACCTCAGAGATGAAAGCAAGGAGGCAGAAAAGTACCACATGGATTTGAGGACTGGAGAGTGATAGGGTGGTTGGAGGGAGCTGAGATCTCTGTCCGCAGCCCCAGCTGAGCGCTGGAAGTTCCAGCTCCTAACCCTACCCCTGGGAACCAGGGCACCACCTTCCGTCCTGACATTGCACTGCACTCCCCACTCCCTATTCCTATTCCAGTACCTTTCTCATCCAGCTCAGAGGTGAAAGGAGGAATCAGATCTTCAAAAAAAAATTCATTATAATATTTTCTTGGGGTCAGAAAATGAATTCAACGACGACAGGAAGCTGGTTGGGAACAAAGCAAAACTCCCCTTTTAAAAAAGAGTTATTTATTGATTTGAAAGGCACTTTCGGAGAGAGTGGGAGAGACAGAGAGAATCTTTCTACTAGTTGGTTCAGTCCCCAAATGGCCCACCAGGAGTCAGGAACCTCATCTGGGGCTCTCATGGGCATGGCAGAGGTTCGAGTACTTGGGGTATTCTCCACTGCCTTCCCAAGCTGTTAGGGGGAGTGGGTTGGAATGGGATATGAACCCGTACCCATGTGGGATGGGAACATTGCTGGCAGTGGCTTTACTTGCTATACTACAGGATTGGACCTTAGAACAAAGTCTTTGACTCTCTTAGGTGTCCCAAGTCTTGTAGTTGGTCAGGAATTGATTATCTTGACAGTGTTGGGGAGCTTCTGGTGATTTTTAAGGAACCAAATGAAAGGAATTCGGAGAGCGAAGGACCCTAGTCAGGGGTCCATCCAAAGTCTACAACTGTATTTGGGAGGCAACTGACAAAGAATGAGGGGTGTGCAGGTGGAACACTGTGGAGGTGGAAGGGAAAGATGAAGCTGTGCTCTCTGGTTCTCCCAGGCAGCTCAACATGAGATGGTGTTCATTGTTCCTTTAAAGTAGAAAAGAAAAAGGCATAGTTAATCAAACCACCCTTTAGAAAAGATTATAGGAGGAGCCAGCATTGTGTCATTGTGGCATAGTGGATTAAGCCACCTCCCGCAGGACCAACATCCTATATAGATGCTGGTTCGTGTGCCAACTACTCCACCTGTGACTCAGATCCCTGTTAATAGCCTGGGAAAGCAGCGGAATATGGGCCAAGTATTTGGGTTCCTGCCTCTTATGTGTAAGAGTCAGATGAAGCTCCTGGCGTCTGCAAAAGCCTTGGTCTTTGCCAGCCCTCTGGGAAGTGAACCAATGGATTGAAGAGCTCTCCCCTCCCTCTGTAACTCACATTATTTTTTTAAGATCACATGGAAGGGATACAATGATTTGCTATAATTTTGAAAGTCATCTCTTTCCTTAAATGCAATTAGCATGATTAATAATAGAGTAGCACAGATATTTTTGCATGCACCTCACAAAGTGAGCCGAGGTCTGTCCAACAGACCAACCAGGCCCAAAGAAAGACAGTACTATAGGCTGACTTGGGGGTGAACAAGTTTTCTGGTTGAACGAATCAGACCTGGGTACTTTCTTCCATCCCATGAAAATGAAAAGAGGTGAGACAGGCGTTTGGTGTTTGGGGACGCCCAGCTCCCATAGAGGAAGGCCCAGATGGAGTCCTGGCTTCCGTGCTGCTGGTCCAGCTTCCTGAGGATAGATGATGGCTGAAGCAGTAGGGTTCCTGTTTCCCCAGGAGAGACCTGGAAGGAGTCTCCAGCTCCTGGCTTCAACCTGGCTCAGGTTTGGGAAGTAAGCCAGCATGTTTAAAATGTCTCCTTCTCCCTGCTTTTCAAATAAAGTGAAAATCAGTAAATCAATATTTTTTATAAGTTCTATCAATAAGGTGGCCTTGTCGAGAAAAGATGCCTATTTCATGGACTCCCATCTTCTCCACTAAGAAGACATTACCCTTGTAAGGATGGGCATTTCCTAGGATCAGGATCCATTCAAGGTCTGTCTCCTCTTCTCATTGGACTTGTAAAGATGGTGAGAACTTGCAACGCCTGTGACTTGTTAGAGAACCTACTCACACCATTATTGCTAAATAGTTATGTGTAACAAACTAGACTGAATAGCTTATGACACAGTGAGAAAGATAATACACGCACCCCACTTTCAAAATGTACTAACTATTCCGATGAAATTCTACTGTGGGAAACATATTTACCTAAAAAGGAAAGAACAAAAAGAGGGGGCCCTCTATGGAAGGGGCAATAATTTTTTCACTAGAAAGATTAAAATGTAGGTTTTTGCCCTTTAATTAATGTCTTTTTCTGTTCTTCTCTCCCACCAGATAATTTTCAGGATCAGATGAAAAGAGAACTAGCCTACCGAGAAGAAATGGTGCAGCAGTTACAAATTGTAAGATACATTTCTATTTTAAAATGAATGCCATTGGAGTATTTTGTTTTCAGATCCCCTTGAATAGGTGTGAGACCTGTGATGGCTTAGCTGTGAAACCTGTTGGTCCATTTAACTCTCAGCTGGTTTAGATGCTAATTACCCAGAGATTTACTTAAACAACAAACAGATGTGTCAGCATGTTTCCTCTAAATGTAACTACCTACCATGTGTTAATAGGCAGCTGTGTGTATGGTCTCTGTAAAAGAACCAGCAGTACCTGCCTCTTCCTGCACCGTGGAGCTGGGATGGGCTTGGAGCCAGGTCCTCCACTGGCAATGAAAGTCAGTAGATACACAGCTGACCACTTAATATTCACTTGAAGGATGCAGAAAAGAAAAAAAAAATCCTGATAAAGTGAGCTGTTGCCTCATAACCATTTCTAAACCATTCTAAAAGCAAGGACACATGTGGTGTTCTTGCGGGGGGAGGTGGAGCTTGTTCCCAGCTTTGATTATTCTCATTTGGGTTGCTTGACATTGTTGAGCAGGTCTCTGCATGTCTTGCATGTCTTGCATGCAGGTCTCTGCATGCCCCTTCGAGCATGAAGTGTGTTGTCTCTGCATGTCTTGTCTACACAGCCAGGTCTTTAGGTCTGTATCTGGGTTATTCAAGAAGGAGGGTTGTTGTCTCCTTTCTGCATCCGTGGACTTTCCTTAGAGCGCTCTCACACACACGCGTGCCTCTCCATCCTGGGGGCTCTGTCTGAAGGGCTGCTTCTGATGCTCCCGCTGCTTTCCCATGGTCTCCAGCGCCAGTGAACAGCTCAGCTTTGCAAACCACTAGGTTAGAGGCAACTGAAACAAGATCTTTCTCCTGTGTTGGTTCTGTTTGTTGTGTGAGTTCTTTTTGCAACTAAATTCCCTGGGAAGCAGGGGATTTTCTTAATTGGCTGATAATGAATTCCTAGTGAGGTTAAACAGTAATTTCTCCACTACTCTTAGCTTTTGATTCCTAAATCCTGAGAGCTATAATTATTTGCTGTGAACATACTTCTTGTTTTCTTTGCCCAAAGGAAAAGATTTACCTGGCAATAGAATCATACAAAGTGTTAAGACCTTTCTTTTTTTGTACAGGGCATCCTTTTCAGATTTCTTAAACAAAGGTTGCCACACATGCAAAAAGAAAGAAAAGAAATCGTGATTTTTAGTGCCGTAGTGGTTATAGCACAGTGAGCATTGGGAAAGGAAAGTTCAGGTTCATTTCAGCCCCCCCCTTTAAAGCCAGTTAAGCACTCTTAATGTCTAAATTTTCCTTGACAGTGGGTTTTCTCAGTAAAAGAAGAAATGATACTATATGCAACAAGCAGGTAGCAGGAGAAAAAAACCCTTCTGTCCTTTGAGATATCTGACCCATGGAGGAAACAAATCAGTATTACTAAACATTTTTATTATAGCATATTGCAAAAATAATCTATCATCAAGTATTCATCTGCTGAGACAAGTGTTACTAATTCATTTCTGTGGATAGTAAACTATTCCTGATAGCAAATTAAATAGCTTGGGAGAAACTCAATTTTTTCCTCCAGCCCTATAGATACCATATAACTCTTGAAATCTGCAATAGGTACATCCAAACCAACATGAAAATTGGTAAAATAAACATTATCCCCTCCTTCTGCACTTCCTACTTTGTGCCCCTTCCCCACCCCACCAACACTGAAGGGTGCTGGCGGTGCCGTTAGTCTTTAACACAATTTGTGGCATCACATCTCTCTTGATAGATTTTTGTTGAATGAATCACCACTCGTGGATGTCTCCTAGCCCATTTCTGACAGTCTTGTACGGCAGTACTCTGAATTCTTTTTCAAATTTCCCTAGTAAGATCCTGATTTCCTCAAATGTTCTTTTACTTGCATCATTTCATGTCAGCTCCAGCAGACATGTGCCAGCAAACACGAACTTCTAAATCTGAAATTTTGGGTTCAAGATGCAGCCCATGCATATGATTCATTAAGTGCCAATTCCTCAACTCAAAGGGACTCTTGTAGGTTTTAACCCAGGGCCCTGATAGGTGTATTCTGATATGAAATGAAAACTAAATAAGAAATGCTTATGCCAACTACCAGATGATGGGCAGTACAAGAATGAGTTGTCAATTTCATGGCACAGCCTTCTCAGAGTGGCACCTGTCTTAGTGTAACCATTTTAGCCTGGTAACTGAGTTTTGTGTGCATGTGTGTGTGTATGTGTGTGTGTGTACGCATGTGTATATGAGAGATTGTTTTGCATTGAACCACCTGCTTTAGAATGGGGGCAACAGACCCAATGCTACTTGAACAGAAGTTTATCTGGCTCCTTATTCCACTTGACCAGGAAACGTATCTGTGGAGAAATGTCTACAGAACAGTCTATCTAAATATTGTCATGAAGTTGCAAAGTATCACAGTTATTGACTTCCTTAGTGTCTTAGTTAAAAGATCTGATTCATCAGGAAATGTGGCTATATGCTTTGCTTCCTGAACAATTTACTCAGGCTTATATATATTTAAAGTTTGCAGATCATATATTACAGAAAGGGTACTTTTTTCTCTTAAGATGAAATAAGAACCCACCTTATTGTGCAACTATGGGGAATTTAAGCATATTAGAACTATCAGATTATGTAATGATTCCCACAGACCCATGATGCATTTACCCTATGTTGTTACACAGCACTCCTACTCAAAAGTCTTACATCAAAGGCATCTGGGGAATCATTGCTGCAGAAAGAAAACTTATGAAGTTTTGGTCCCTGCATTTTTGAATTCTCTGCTGACTATAATTTCTGTGCTATTGCTTCTTTTTCTAGGTTGTTAAATGCAAAGTTTTAATGCCTTTAGATTCAAATGATTGTCTCTCTGTACATTTAATAACTGAATGCACATTTATCTCAATGTGAATCAAAGCATATGCAGGACTAGTTTATTTAATATTTACAGGTGGTCACAAGCTAACTTTTTAAAGTTTATGTAGCTTAAAATTTGAGGTTTTTAAGAATATTTATTTATTTATTGTTATATTAGAAAGGCAGATTTTATAGAGAGAGGCTCTTCCACCTGCTTGTTCATTTCCCAGATGGCCACAGTGGCCGGAGTTACTGATCTAAAGCCAGGAGCCAGGAGTTTCATCCAGATCTCCCACATGGGTACAGAAGCCCAAAGACTTGGGCTATTCTGTGCTCCTTTCCCAAGCCATAGCAGAGAGCTGGATTTGAAGTGGAGCACCTGGGACATGAACCAGTACCCATGTGGGATGCTGGCACCACAGGGCTGATGATTAGTCTGTTGTAATACTTAACATAGTCTGTGTTAAAATCTCTCACCTATGCTCTTGATTTTCAAAGACTTAAAGCATTCTCATTACTAAGCAGATTTGCTTACACAAAACAAAGAATTAGAATCCCCTCAGCTATACACCAAATGCCGATGTTTGAAAATTTGTCAACTTCTTAGAAAATCTAAAGAACATAGAATTTTACATTCGCAAGTGAATTATGGTTTAAGGAGAAATGTGTCCAGTTTTCAGAACAAAATCCATCACGTCTTAAGCAGCAACCATCACCCAATAAATAACCTTTTGATTAAAATAATAAGCAAAATAATTTGCAGCGTGAGCTGAGACTTTCAGTGTCTTGACAGCCTCATTTTCATTGCCAATTTCGCGATAACTTTTTAAGCAGGGACATTCTGTGTACAAGCCAGGATTGCAATTTGTTGAAGACACTCCCTTTAAGAGTCATAGATCTTGAATGACTCGGTGCAGCTGCAGTACAGAGCACATGATGAATGGTGAGACCCAGACCTGCCACTAGGTGCAGAGATGGAGAACATGAACTAGTCTTGGAGTGCCCTCTGCTGTTCGTGCAGCAAGCTGCAGGCACATGCTGAAGGAGTCTTGCTCCTCTTTCCCAGCCCTCATTAAAGCAATGGTCATCGGTAGATTTAGTACTACTATTTTGTTCACGGTGGGCTTAAGACAAAAGCAGTTTACAGCTTCCCGTGGCTGGGAGCGCAATACTTCTCTGTGGAGAAAGGAGCTGTGGATCTTCGCTGTGGATTTTCTCGAAGGCTCTCTGATGTTATTTAGTAGAATGGCAATTTGCCCAAATTTCTGCTGTCACAACCCAAAAAAATTTTTGAAAGCATACTTTACATCACTTTTTAAAAAGTAGATGAACAGTTATTCTATTGGATTATAGTTTGAGAAAAATATGCCTGGGCCATCAGAGAAATATGCTTTCCAGGCTAAACATGCATCAAGAAAGAGCTTCCTGCAAGTCAGGGACTTGGTGTATCTCAGCTCTCCTGGAAGCTACCTTTAGGTCGGCTAGCAATAGACAGACACTTGAGCTCCGATTTGTCTCTTCCCAATTATTGATCTGCCGTCATGTATCTTGACAACGCTATTTGTTGTTCCTTGGCTATGAAGCTGCCTCCTTTTCTCTTCATTCTTCTTTTGAAAAGCTGACTCACCTAAATGTCTGACCTCAGGCAAACTTTTGGCACAAATTATGAAGCTGTGTGTTTTTAAGTAAGGCTTTTATATTTTGTTCTACTAGAGCCCGCTGGATAATTTAAAAGTTACAGAATACTTTGTTTCTTTTACTCATGCCTATCTTAGCGATTTCCAGGATGATCAACATGCAAATAAAACTTTTGTAAGCTGTGTGATAGGAGGTGCACATGGAATAACTAGAATCCCGAGCCCCACGCTGGGAAATGCTGGCTGAGCTATCCAGAAGCCAGCATTGCATTTTGTGGAATCTGAAACCTTATCAGTTGTAAGAGTTTCATGACTTGACAAGTCATAAGAATGAAGCTTCCAACTAAAAGGCTAAAATGCCCTCAATCACAGTACATCCAATTGCAGAGTTGTTAATTGTGAAGGGAAACAGTGTATCCTAGAGTCAGTGAAATACTGTCACTTTCACAAACAGCTGGGCCATGTGCTCAAATAATCCTTAGTTATCCTTTCTGATTTAGGACTTAGAAATTAGAATAAATCATTCTCAGCACTTGTGGTTTTTTTCTTTCTTTGGCTTTTATTTTACTTCCAGGAAATCCAGATTTGAGTGGGGATAGTTCTTGGCACCAATTTTGATTCCCAGCTACAGTTTTGCAGATTAGTTTTATTTAGAAATGCTTCCTCCAGCACCCCACACCCTAGGCTTTTTTTCTTTTCTTTTTGTTTTTCCTACATTAATAAGATGCAACATAGTTATTTCTGAAAAAAAGAGAAAGAAAAGAGCATTTTGACTTCAGTGGCCTCGAGACAGATTTCTGTGGCTAGAACGAGTGGCTCACTGGCTTTGAGGAGATCGCTGCTTGTGATTTTAACTGCTGGTAGTACTTGACACAGAAAGAGCTCCTTTTAAATCTTTGTAGCATCTGATCTTGATGTTGAAGAATCTTCTTAAATGTGAGAGTACACAATTGGTGTCATTTTATATTATTCTAAGTAATAGAATTCTGTTCAAGGCTCTGTTACATTATGCACCTACAGAGAGTCCTGTCATTGTAGACCATAATGGAAACACTGAGCTTCAAGGATGTTCCTGTTAATAGCAGGTGTCACATAACCTGCAGTGAAAAGAAGAGGTAACTAGAGTAGGACCCAGTATGATTGCTCTTGTCATAGTTATCTAGCTGATCTCAGCCCATGTTCTAAAATACCAGATTGGGACACTGACCTTGTTATGTTACTATATGAATCATTCATTCCAATGCTACTATTTATGCCCTTCGTCTATCAGAATGGTTTATCCTGTGGATCTTTGTCCCTGCCGTTCTTATGGATGCATCATTCCCTCTCATTAGGAAGGGTCCTGTGTGTGGACAGGTGGATCAAGAGTGCACAACGTACACGTTCTGGGAAAGTGAGGAAAGTATAAAACAGAATTCAAGAGTATTGCCTAGGGAAATGAAAATAATTTTGTTTAGCATTCAGATTTCATTTCCCATTCTAGATGACTGAATATTTATGTCTTTAAATATAAAATAGTTTCAATTCTTTTGAGTCTCAAATTTAAATTTATCATGATGAAGGTAGGTAATATAATGATCAAATATTTTCCTGGATTGGTGGGGAGGCAAATCTAAATAATTCATTTAGTCCAATTTCAACTGCTTCAATTTTCTAATTAAAAATTAGCGTTTCAGATATGACAAACGTTCATTCAAATCCCCAGTATTCAAAGGAACTTTTCAAATTGTACCTAGGTAGATTTCTCCTGGGTCATATTTTCCATTCAGTGCAGTTATTTCTGATGCTTCTTAATAATTTTAGGGAGTTTACTCAGTGTTGAAAAGTTTTTATTGAATTAGTCTTATCTGTGATTTATAATGATATTATATTTATAAAGAAATCACTCTAAAAACTGGAATGTTACATTGAACTAATTGGTAATCAAATTCTTATTTTGTGACCTGTGACATACACTATAGCATCATAACAATTTTATACCTAGATTAAAAAAATACTGTATTGTTAAATGCAATTTTTAAATGTTTTAAAGGGAAATATTGTATATTAAGGTTAGGCACCAGGTGCAGCAACAATCTGATGTGCTCACCTCTTCTGTCCTCAGTGTGATTGCTGGCAGACCTTGGGAATGCCACATCCCAGTGGCCCCACATGGTCAGACACAGCCTGCTACTCCTCATTGAGTCTCTATTGAGTTTTTAGCGTGTTGGGAAAGATGAGCTGTCTCCACATTGAGCTCACCCGGAAGGTGTTTTGTGCTTTGATCTTACAGATCCCCTATGCAGCAAGTTTGATCAGGAAAGAAAAGCTTGGTGCCCATCTCAGCAAAAGCTAAAAGGTAAGATTGCCAAAGGAGAGATATCTCCTAATTGTTATTACTTGGCTATGTTCTTTATTGATGTATTTACCCAAGGGACAGGTACAGTTACATCCTGTGTGAAAGTCAGTACACCATGAACTTGCCTGTGTCTGAGAATGGGGCTTCCGAAATGAATGGCTAAATGCTTCTTAAGAACTCTATGGAAAATTCCTAAAACTGAAGACATTCTCTACTCAGTCTGAAAAAGTGATCTTCATTCTATTTTGACGTTTTCTGTTCTTAGCGGGGGGTCTATCTGAAACCTAATTATTTTCCTCTCTAAAAAGGCAGAATTGTCAGCATTGTCCCTCTGGGATCTCATCTCAGTAACTCCTGTGCTTCCAAAAAAATCTTCCTGAAAACTGACTTGCAGTGAATTACTGCAGATGGTGAAATGAATACTTGGGTAGTTACATCACTTTGAGACCTTCTGCTCTAGGAATGGCAATTCATTCTTCTCTAAACCAAAAATAGTTTTTGATAGTTGAATCCAAATTAAAAATTAAAACCCTGAAAATAATTTAAAAGACAAATACTCTGGACTTTTAAGAAAATACAGACAGTAAAAATTCAAGGACTATATTGTTGTAGATGCCTAACTATTTCACAATTGATATATTGATTCCATAGAAGAAGACACAGGTAACTATTAAAATGATGGCAAAGCAAAAACTAGGATGCTGTTGTCTCTATAACAATGTGTTGATATGACTACACTTGAAATTGTTAAAGCAATAATTTGATCCATTCCCATCAGAATGATTCTTCCCATTCCTTCCCTCTGGAACAGAAGTATTGCCAACTCAACAGAAATGATTGGCAAAAGAATTCCCTAGAATACAAGTTCATGGTTCCTTTTCTATTTTTCTTTTTTTCAGGTTCAACAGCACAGGGTTTGATACATTTCAGGCCAATTCCATATAATTATACAGTCATGATTGGTCAGTTTAACTGCTAACTTTTTGTGTGTGTGGGTAATACCATTGTTTCTCTAAGCCTCTCCTTTTGCCTGTCACAAGCTTCTTCTACCATGAAATGAGGACATTCCTACTTCTGACCATCATCTTTATTTGTGACAGTTTTCCAAATTCACCTCACCCAAAACATTTTCCAAAACAATCTCTTGTTTATATGGTTTTCCATAATTTTTCTCATGGAGAACTGAGACATGGAAAAGAGAGATGGAGCTTTTTTTGTCCATGTTGCAAAGTTAAGAAGCAACTATGGGGCTCCTCACTTTAAACCTAGTGCCTACTGCTCCTATGCATAGAACTCTTATCCTCAGAAAGCAGAAAAATCTGTAGCTAAGAGGCTCACATTGTTAATTTGTGATGTGACACACCAGTGTGCCCATGAATCCAGCCCTCTTCTATATAGAAAGGTATTTTTATTAAGTCTGAACTTGACCTTGGGTAATCTTATATTTGTTGTTGTAGATCAAGCTTACACCAGTAGTATAAAGTAAAAATGATAGATCATTCAGATTCCCATAAATCTTAATTTGGGATATCAAGACAATCAAGGCAAGAATGATCCACATTAATTCTGATTAAATTAATAGCAAATGTTAATTTGAGTGTTAGTGTGTATTTTAAATGGCTATTTATTGAGAATTCAACAAAGTTTATACATCATAAAGTCGAACAAATTGTGATGTCTATAAATTGCACTTCAGTGAAGGTTGCTTAGACTCTGAATAACAACCTTGTGTCTCTGTATAGGTTTTTCTCATCCCTTACTCCTAAAAAAAAGTTAATTTAGCCTGTTTCTGAACTTCATGTAAATGATGTTACATGGATTGTTCTCTTGTGCCTGATTTCTTTTACTCAGCATTTAGAAAGTTCATCCATCAGAATGTGGTTAAATTTAATTTAGCAGCCTCAGTAAACTCTCTTTTTACCTCTTCTGCTTTTCCAACTCATCTTTCCTGCTTGTCAGATGCAAATCTATCTTGTACCTACAAAATGAAGACGTGCTGGCCAGAAGCCATGCCTCTCATAGTGACAGAACACAAGGCTAGGTAGAACAAGAGATTGATTTGTGTTAAGTAACTAATGCTTCCTTCTTGCTGATTTTGTTAGCATCCTTGCAGGCAACAGGGATTTCTCTAAGTAGACCCTGGTGCTTTCTGAAGATTAGTGGTTACTTAAATGCTTAGCTAAATCAGCCAAGCAGAGAATCACGACCATATTGTTAGAGGCAGTCTCTTGTTCTTAATATGCCAAGCCTATGAGGAGTTACCCCAGGAGAGATTATCAAATAGAAATCATTACACCGCAAGAGAGAGACGGATTCTTTCTTGCTGAGTGACCACAGGTTTCCAAATTAGGACTTGATGCATTAATGTCTTATGCAAGAATGACCCTTAAGGTAGTATGCTGTGTTCTTGCCACCCAGTGGATTCCAGTGTGACTGTTAAGAGGAGGAAGCTTTTCAAAACCACAGGCAATCCACTTAATAAGCTGAGCAAATACTGCCACATATCACCACTCTGCAAATCTTACTTGTCCTCTCTTAGAGCATAAGAAATTCCATGTTGAATCAAAATAAAGGTCTACCCAGGTCCAGATACTGTGACATTCCATGAGAGCCAATTTGTCGCTCTTAACAGTATCCACGTTGAAACCTAGGCATATACTCTGACAATTCTTAACTTTCTCTTGATAATTCCTTAAAGAGGCATTACTCATGGATTTGTCTAAGCTTTGTATCAACCCGGTATAGTCCCCTTTGGGGTAATGAATACTATTTGTTTAGCTACCAGCTGTGTAAAGTGCAGTTTGTTTTATTTATCTTTAAACTATCTCCTAAAGAAAAGTCCTATTAGGTTAAATGTTGTACTGTTCTGCATAGTTGTTTTGAGAGCTTATGTGTACTATGGAAAGAGTTTGAAGAATATTTCAAAACGTTGTGCGTTTGTTCCTTTTACCTGGACCATAAACACTAGATTTATTTCAGATGGTCTTTCTCAGTGCTGGTTATTTCTGTGACCCCCTTCCTACATGAACACCCCAGTATAATTTCTGTGCAATCCATATCCCAAATAAATGTTTCTTGATGTAAAAGCTCATATAATTATTATTTTATGTTCATTTTCTTCCAATCACCATTTTAAAGCATTTTGCCACTACCATTTGGGTAACTAATTGGAATATCTATGTCTTCCACAGAGAAGAATTCATGAAAAAAAATGGGGATCACAGGAAATGAATCCTAGGAAATGACTCATTCATTAGACCATCATATCACTGACCAAGTTGGAAATGATCATAATTGTCATTTATTGAGTACTAGCTATGCTAAACACCGGGCTAAAATATTTGTGGTATTCTTCTGATGTACAGCTCTGTAAAACAGATGCCTACGTCTGTGTGAGATCCATGCTCTTATGATCCCTCTTTTCATGCATGTGCCTCAGGAAGGTCAACACCTGCAAGTGATGGAGTTAGGCATCCATTCAGATCTGTTCACATGCAAAGCAACCTCCATGTTTCTTTGAGTTCTTGGACTAGTGACAAAGGAGATTGAGTTCTAAATCTGACATTACTTCCCTATGTTTTCTTCAGTGATATTTAATCTCTTGAATCTTATCTACAAAATGTGGATTGCCAAAGCTCATCAATGTTTCCACCAGTTCTAGAACTCTTTTTTTTTTATTGTATCTACTTATTTGCAAGACAAAGTAGCAAAGAAGGGGTGGGGACAGGAGAGAGGGAAATTGATCTTCCATACACTGGTTTACTCCCCAAGTGACCATCATAGCCAGAGATGGATCAATCTGGAGCCAGAAGGTTTTTTTTTTTTTTTTTTTGGTCTCCCATGTAGGTACAAGGGCCAACAGTCTTGGACCATCCTTCGCTGATTTCCCAAGTACATTAGCAGGGAGCTGGATTGGAAGTGGAGCAGCTGGAACTCAAATTGATGTCTACATGGCAGGCTGGCACCACAGGCAATGGCTTAATGCACTCTACCACGGTGCCAGCCTGCAGCTCTAGAATTCTGACCATTGTTCTTCAAGGTCAATCTTCTACTATTATCTCTCTTTCTTTTCAAGGAGTCTGCTTTTGTTAAAGCCAGGTCAAGACCACATGTAATACCCAAGGGATGCCTCATGCACTTTGGCCATTTGCACTTTCTTCATCAACAAGTTGCTATTCTGCAATCTTCTTCAGGGTTTGAAAATAAAATACTCACAATATCTACCTCTTTGTTAAACTGCCTCTATTTTTTCATCTCATTTTGAAATCAGAGCTACAAAAATAATGAAGCAAATGTCTTTACAGGATATGGACAGATTGTCATGAAACATTCTTTCTTCCTTTTGTACAGACCAGTCTGTACAAAACCAGTCAGTACAGACCAAAGATAAGGAGATGGTGTATCCACTTCTCTCCTGTTTAGTCAGACATAAAGGGAACAGATTCTTTCAAGAATTGCCACTGAAAAATAGAAATGTGCCCTCACTGGTCAAGTTACTTTGTATCAGTCACACTATTTGATATTTGAAACAGGCCAAGGAGGCAAATACTGCTGCTTTGCCCTGCCTCCAGCCAGGGAAGCTGAAGCACAGAAACGTGAGTTGTCTGTGGCCTCACTGCGAGGACAACAGCTACAGTTCTGTAGCTCACCTGATATCCACCATTGTTTCAGTCCTAGTCTGAAATCATGGCCTAATTCACATCACTATCATCAATTATAAATATGCACTTTATAACTGATCTGATGGTTTCGATGATTCTGAATTAAAACTCATGACATACCAAGACAAAAAAGTGTAAACACAAAACAAAACAAAAAACTTAATCCACGCTAAAAATGCTGATAGGACCTCAGAATGTGAAATGCTGTCTGCCTTCTCACAAAGGCTGTCTTAAATATCTGCCCAACAATAAACCAGAGCTTCTAGAGCCCAGTCATCTGGCACCATGGTAAACAGCTCTGATTCAGGATTTCATTTGGTCCAATGGTATCCACACAACATAAGCTAAATCAACAGACAAGCATTTAGAAAGGAAGATGTTTTCATGGCCACTTAAAATTGTTTGAATTTAAACCATATTAAAACTGTCTGAAGGGACTGCTAAATACTGCTGTACCTGTTTTAAGATGACCTGATTGTCATTTTCTGCTTTTGTCCTATCCCAGGTGCACAGAAACCCTTACTCTTGTTCTCTTGTAAGATACAGCCTGCCATGGAGTACTTCAGGCCTGCACACAGACTGCACACTGAAAGGGCTTGGGAATCAAATACAAAATCAGGTTCGCGGGAACCCAAGGACAAGTGACCTCAGAGCAGCATGGACAACCATGTAAAATAGACTGTAGCAGCCATTCATTCGTGGGGGGGAGGGGGGAGCCACCCGGAGCAGTCAATGCTTGTCGCATCTTTTGGTGGAACCAAAGTTGGAGTCTTTGTGTTTTTAGAGGGGACAACTGAACCCAGAGCATGGGAAATGGTGTTAGCCAACCAGGGTGGGAAGCCATGGATGGTCCTGAGTAGCAGCAGGGCCACACACATGGAGAGAGCAGCTTTATTCACTGTCCTTCACCCTTGACAAAGTGATTCTTGGTGGGAAAGAAAGCATAGGGCTACCCTGGGAGTGGGGATTGGGTTTTGACAGCTGGGAAGGCATCCTGTTCACACCTGCTTTTCATGGCAAACAGACACACATGTGTGGCCCCTTCCTCTCTGGTACTTTGCCTGCTGTATGAATGAAGATTGTATTCCTCTGGAAATATTTTACAGTTTAATATTGAGTATAATTAAGAATATAATCATGTTATCAAAAATGGTATTTAACACTGTTGTAGTTTCTTTAACATTCATGTGGATAAAAAAGTCTATAATAAAAAAACTATGAAATAAGAACTGTGTTCCTATAGTTAAGTGCACATTTGTATGGAGGCAGTTAAATGACAAGTATACACACTTTGGGGGATTTTTTGGCATAAAATATCTGAATAAATTTTTTAAAACAATTTCCCATAAAACAGTGGTTATTAAATACTAGATTAGCCTTGGGCTGTGACAGCACCTGGAGACCTCCTCTTGTTGGGAGAAGGAATGTTCTGAATCTTGCTAGGTCCTGACAGCATCGGTGAGGTGGTAAGTAGCTCACCCTCTTCCTTGCTGTGATGACCCAAATCCAAGTCCGTGAGTGGATTTTATGCCCCAAATGGTGGCAAACAGGCAAGAGTTCTATGGTAATGCTGGAGTGCATAGAGATCCACTCTGCATGGCACGTTAACCCAAGGCTGTCAAAGACCAAACCCACCGAAGAAACTTCTTATCTTTGACATTCCCCAGGGAATTTCAGAAACAGTTTAAAATGCTTCACCATGGTATTTGGTTCATCCTCCCCAGCCAGCTCTATTGTCATGATGTGTCCAAAACCTTCACCCTTTATTTTTTACTTGGTTGCCATGTTAAGAAACCAAAGACATGGTAGTCCTTTGTGATTTTTTTTCTTAGTCAAGGAAGAATAAGAGTTGTGTTCAAGAAGGGATAGACACCAAGTCTGTCTGTAGACAGACCCCAGCAACCATGGACTTAACTGATAGGGAGATACTGCCACAGAGCTGATCTCCTTGAGTTGTCTTTCTAGGAACGATCTGGGTCTAAGCATGGGGTTCATGAAGGCTTGGGGACCTGGCACACATTTCTGACACTGGCAGCTGGGCTTAGGAGTCATCTGAACAGTCAGTGGGTAAAGTGGGTGGAGTGTTTCTCTAATGTAAGCTTTACATCACACGTAAGATTAGAAGTCGGCCATTCTTAGCTTTGTACTTCAGACCAAAGATATTGAAGGTGAAGGGGTAATGACCAGGGAGAGAACATCACAAACCTGGCATCATGACCACCCACCAGAGGACAACAGAAATCATTTTGTGTAGATGCCATTGCTAACTCTGGCACTCGATAGCTTCTCAGAGCACGGCCAGCAACTAATTCAGAGGGAGAATATTTACAGATGAGTGTAACGTCTTTGTCCTACAGTTAACATCAATGGCAGTATAAGCCAGTCAGAAATGTAATTATTTCTCTCCAATTGTGTCTTCAATTGTCTCCCACTAGTGGTGCAAAAATATCAGCAAATGCTTTTGCAGCAAAAGCAAGATCAGAACCAGATAGGTACATGTGCAGAGCCCTGGAATTCTTAACCACGGCATAGTTCTGAATTAATTTAATGGCCAAGCTCAGTGCTGAGATCATTGGCCTATCCTGCTCAGATGGTAGCAGTGCAGAGTACCTTATGGTTTTCTATCTAAATGTCAGACTACAAAGAAGCCAGCAATTGATCTCTCCCTGAGTTCCTGGGGACTTTTGTTCTTCTCCTCTCTTGGCCATCCAGCATCCCTACTTCCCAATCTATTTTATTGGACTGAGTCTGTATTCCATACAAGCACTAACACCTAACAGTCCTCCATGGAGCCATAAACTCACATGCCCCAAACCAATCACTTCAGAGGAATAGAGTAAAGGAAATCTAATGCATAATATATAAACATGTCATTTACCCCCTATTTATTCTCATTAAGGACAGTGGGAAAAGATTGTGTCCTTCTGATACTTGAAATTAAAAAAAAAAAAAAAAGAATTTCTCTCCAAACCTGGACATGATTGAGGTATCTGAGCTGCCCTGTAAAAGCAGACAGGACATCCATCTACAGTACTTCATGGGACTAAAAATAAAATATCTCTAGAAGGACAAATACACATTCTTGTCCTTATGAAATGGCAGTAGAAAATCTTTTCTTTGGCTGCTTTGTCACATGAAAACTCCAAGGTCAAGCCAAATGCAAGCTCAGGAACAATACAGGCAATGCAAATAGAATTCTCTATTTTGATTCCAAATTAAATTGTAACATCAGAAAGGGCCATAGCAAATCAGAGCAAAAATCCTGTGCCTGATCTTGTCCTGTTGGGGTACAGCAGACATTTCAGACTGATGCTCTGCTTCTTCCAAATGCTTGAGTAATTGCCCATCTGTTTGCCAGAGGCAAGGAGAGGGAAACATCACATCCCAATTTCCTTAGATGGAGCCATGAGTGTAGCCTCAGTGCTGTGAAAGATAGAGGATATGTCTCTTCTAGCTACAGGGGATATGATCAAATGGCTAAGATCTCTTTCATTTAGGAGTCAGTGTTAAGAGAGTTTTGGTTAGCAGTGAGGAAGGTCTGAGAAGGACCACTGTCAACATGGCGAGGATGTATGACCCTGCCCTTGACCAGACACTCGCAACAGATTCCAGACTTCCCTTCGTCTCTCTGCAGAGCTGAGTACCCAAGCTCTGATCATAGCATGAGACTCCCCAAAGACACCCCAACGATGCTTGTCATCACTTTGTGGGAGAGATGTACATTGGATACTGTGAGTGTAAGGGGTGTTCACGTCCGCTCACCATCACTCCCAGTGGTTAAAACAGTCTGTTATATGGCACAGCCACATCAGACATGTTTTGCTAAATAATTCAATGAGCCACATGCTGTCTCATTTGATTGCAAATGACAGTATATGGCAAATCACTAACTGCCATCCATTAGAATCTACTCTCGAGCAGCAATATATTAGACAAATCCTACATGTTCCAGGCTTCCTTGGGGTTAGATGTGGTCTTGTGTTCATGTTTTCACTGATAGGATGCAGGTGAAATGCATGAATTTCAAAAAGGTTACTTCAGTACAGCAAGACTTAGTTAAGAAGTGTGTTATTTCCTTTCTTTCTTTCTTTCTTTCTTTCTCTCTCTCTCTCTCTTTCTTTCTTTCTTTCTTTCTTTCTTTCTTTCTTTCTTTCTTTCTTTCTTTCTTTCTTTCTTTCTTTCTTTCTTTCTTTCTTTCTTTTTGAGGCAGATATGGTGGCAAAGCACAGTAATCTTTCACCTATCATGCCAGCATCCCAAATGAGTGCCAGTTCAAGTCCCAGGTGCTCCTCTTCTGATACAACTCCCAGTTAATGGCTTGGGAAAAGCAGTGGAAGATGGCCTAAGTACTTTGGCCTCTGCTTCCACTGTGGGAGACCACAACGACCTGGATCCCAGCTTCAGACCAGTCCAGCTCTGGCTGTTGCAGCCATTTAGAGAGTGAGCCAGTGGATGGAAGATCTCTGTCCCTACCTTTCTCTCTATGTGCCTCTGATTTTTCAAGTAAAATAAATAAATCTTCAAATAAATGAGATACAAGTATTTCTCTCCCACCCCCAGTTTTTTCCCTGTTTCCTGGGGGTTTGTGGTGGGGGAAACAAAATTCTATCTCAAACTCTCATTTTAGATATTTTGCTAACTCTGATCACAAAATCCCTTGGTCTATCTGGAGGTAAACCAACTATCAGTAGCAAAATTTCTTACCTATATGACAACTTTAAGATGCATATGTATGCTGTTTTACGTGAACACTGAAGTAAACATTTTATGATCACACTGGCCCTTTGGTGTAGCTGAGGGGTAATTATGCAAAAACGCACATTCACTACAGAGTCAGTTCTAAATGTGGTTCCTTTACTGTCATGAGCAGCTTTGTCAATTTCCTAGTCTCATAACATAGTGAGCCAATCTATAGTTGCTTTGATACTGTTCATTGCCTATATAAATAGGTAGGGATGGGGGAAGGGACCAGAACTGAACTTGATCTACTCCCCAGGGTCACAAGGGAGCTGAGTTGAAAAGAGAGACATATTGTCCCATAGTGTTCATGGGGTTCTGCTGTGATGTCAGCAAAATTGTGTGAAGACTCAACAAGGAGAAACAACTCAGCAGTTCAGGAAGGCTCACAAGTGGTTGTCAGCCATCAATTGTTATGCCCTGCAAATTCACTGGCCCCTGTGGGTAGACTCCAGGCACCACTGAGATTAGTCAGGGTTGCAGGAAGCAAGCCAGTCCCAGACTGAGATGTGATGAGCAGGAACATGTAGATATTGTTTCTCCTAGACAGAAGGGCAGCCAAGTGAGTTTGGAAACTCAGGTGATCGTCTCAGAGTCCCATTGAGCCAGTAGCCACCACACAGAGTTGGGAGAAAGCAAAATCATTCTAAATTCAGCTTGGCTTCAGCCCTCATCTAGGTTCTGCAATGGTGCTGTGGTTCTAACCAGAGGCCTGGGAAGTGGGCTGGCTCTGACTTGAGAGAGGTGTTAGCAAACACTGGGAGCTGAAGAGACTTTTCTGCACATGTCTACCAGAAACAAGCTATGCACATTTTAAAAGTGTTAGCTTCAAGTTACCTAAAGGAAATAAGCATTCCGAAAAGTCACAACTCTGTACTGAGTTAAGAATATCTCTGAAGGCATGTTAATGCCTGGAGTCTTCAAATAATAAAATTCATCCTTCTCTTCCAAGTTTTACATCATCTCACTATTAAGGACAGTGGCTTCCTGAATGATTGTTAATGATGGTTTTCTTTATTATATTTTAGACCATTTAGCAAAGCTTATTGATTTATACTTCCTTGTAATTAGTTGTAGTGATTAAAATAGCTTTTATAGTCCTCTTGAGATTGACTTTTAAAAGAATCAACATTTTCCCCAAATTATGTGCTTTAAAACATGGTTAAATACTGTTTGAATTCAGTACTAACCCATCAGTGGAGAAACTGATTTTATATGGAGTTGCTTTCTCATCACTCCACTTGCATGGTGCCATCATCCAATTACTTGGCAGCCAATAATAATAACAGCAGCCAACTTTCACAAGGTTTACAGGAAGCCGAACATCATGCTAAATGTCTTAATGCATTATGTCATTTAATCCTCTCAAGAACACTATGAAGTAGGGACTATTTAACTGAAACTTGGAGGAGTTAAGTTACTCAGCTGATAAATGGCAAAGCAGAAATTTAAACTTTAGGCTGTTGTGACTTCACAATCAAAGGCACTG